CCCCAAAACCCCAAAACCCCAAAACCCCAAAATTAATAAAATTTATTGAATTAATCTAACTTAGGCCTCTTGAAATTACCCTGCTCAAAACTGTTAAAATCATTCCTATCTAGCATTGGAGCATCAAGACCTTCCTGGCTGATATGTTCAGAAGGTAATTCTTGTTGGTATGGGTTGGATCCCTGCACAGACTCATTAGGTTTTCCTTTCAACATCTGGATTTCTTCATCGCTCTCAAAAGCTGGAAGATTTCTCTCAAAGAAATATTCAGGCTTGTAACTATTATTTTCTATCGTGTTTGGAGGCTCATTTGGGTTTTGAGATCCCCATAGTGGGTAGTTAATTTGCCTATTCTTATGTAAGTAAATCCAGAGACGCTTTTCGCTATCATATTTTACACAAGGGTCAGTTTCATAATGAAGCCTATCTAAAGCTCCCGATACAACTGTATTTATCTGAGCATCTGATGATTTTTGTTCAAAATATTGGCTTCACCTCAGCAATGTACATATATCTGCTCTAGTTCCTACTCCATCTGGAAGTCTTGCAGCTGCGTCTCTGACTAGGCAGAGGATCGTGACAATTGGAGGTCTGTCTCCTTTTAATGCATTATGTTCCCTTGCTTTATTAGTAGCTTGACCCATCTTCCTTAAAACTGGTGCGACAATACTGGTTGTTTCATCTGGGTTATAGTAAACCCATGGCTTAGTAGGGTATTTATACCTCTCTGCCTCTTGTAAAGAGTAACATTCAAACCAAGCTTTAGATGGCTTCCGAATAGTCTGGAGATTCTTGATGGTCCTTGGATTACTAAACCTATCAGAGTATGAGATCCAATTTAAATCATCATTTTTCTTAAGTCTCTCAAGTCACTTCTGTCTCAAGTCGTTAGATACTTCATCATAGACGTTATCTTTCCAGTCTAAAGCCTTCAGATCTTTCTGGGATTTATTTTCTTCGATTATTTCCGCTTCCAAATTTTCTTGAATCTTCTTCTCTTTCAGCATTCTTTCTTCTTGTTTTTGTCTCTCCTCTCTATCTAGAGCTGCTTCTTGTCTATGAAGCCTCTTTACCAGAATATTGAGTGGATCATAATCGAAGAGGTCCCTCCGACTTCTATCCGCATTGGCACTAGTGCTGGGTTCTTCATCAGAAAGTGGATCTAGTAGCACCTTTTGTGCAAATTCCGCTGCTGGAAGGTTTTCAAATTGAGCTTCATCCGTTAAGGCAGAATCATCCTCGCTTTCATCCTGGAGAACAGGAATTGATGGATTAGACTCAAGGTAAGCTATCATTTCCTCAACTTGCTTCTTCCTTCTTAATATTCCCGCTCATTTTTGGTATTTTTGGATTCTAAGTTCCTTCTTAGTATATTTATTCTCCAAAGTAAATTTCTCTATAATCTCAAATGGATTTCCAAATATAGTCTTATCTTTGACATTATTAGCTTTATCAGTAGCGAACTTCTGCAGATCATCTAGTACTTCCTCTAGTTTTATAGGTTTTCCAGCAACAGAGGATAATCTTTGAATATCTTCTGGTGTAAACTGCTCAGTTATCTTTCCAGTCATTTCTTTAGTGAATATTTTCTCAATTCCTAAGTGAAGCAATCCTTGTGGGAGCTCAATCTCTCCATGCTTGGTATGTAAGGACACATTTTGGTACTTGGTCTCTGGATTATTATTTAAATTAGAAAGGTCTTGCTCTTCATCACTCCCATCTAAAGAGATGGACTCAATAGATCCTTCATCGTCAGCTTTCTCCTGGACTATCTTCTCGATCATGCTTCGAGCATTGTGTAGGATTCTTTGTTTGTGCTGGTTCCTTCGATATATCGGATCAGTTTCTCTGTCATATCTTCCTCCTTTGAAAACTCTGAAGATTTCATTGGGTGCCTTATCAACAGTTTTCCCTGTTTTTATAGTTTGAATTTCCCTGAAGAGATTTTGCCCTATCTGACCTAGAACTTTATCATGCTCATGGGCATCCCTCTGGATATGGCCATCAAGAGAATCTAATTCTGAACTATCAAGATCAGAGGAGATTCCTGAACTGAAGGTATCATCGCTCAAGTTCATGTGCCTTTGAGAAAGTGTTCTTGCCTTCTTTGAGGATGTTTTTGACACTAAATGATCATGATTACTTCCACCTATCATTTCACTTACAATTAGATTGTTGTGTTGTTTCCATCTTAAAATTTTCTAATATTTCGAAGATTATTTTCAATTAATTTTAACCTAAAAGGGGTTTTGGGGTTTTGGGGTTTTGGGG